ATAATGTTATCATATTTTCACCACTCCCTAACTTCCCTCCAACATTGGTTCAAAATGAACGTGCGGTTGTCAACAGATACAGGGGTAATAGGTTTTTGAATATGTAAGAAGTAGTAGTGGATGGGATTCGTAAAATTGTTAAACGTATATTTTTTCATTACTACCAAATCATTCTACAACTTTAAGTCAAATCCAACTAGTAGTTTTTGAAATATTAGCCTGTCCAAGAAAATACATAAAGCCGTGCTTACGCAAAAGTAGTGAATGGAATTGGATGAAATTGATATGAGACCGTCTAGTTACCAATCTGCACAATCTCTGAAAATCAGAATAATAACAATTGCTTTAAAATCCATAATATTTGACTGCATGCAGGCATGGAACCAAATTTGTACCCTGATGGCTAAAAGGAAAATCGCACCTGGACATTTTCTATTCTGAGCATACGTTTTTTTTTAACCTCCCGCACGTATCCAATACTTTCCTACTTTCGGTAGTAATGAAGCAATAATGCATTATGACTTTATGATGTATGCAAGGTAGGGAAGCATTGTATTCGTGCTAGAAGTTAAAAAAAAATGTATGCTCAGAATAGAAAATTTACATTCGCGTTTTACCTTTCTGACATCAAGGATCAAATTTGGTTCGGCGTCTGTCTATCTGTAGTCAAATCGATGTAACGGGTTTATCTGATTTTCACGAAATTTTCATGAATTGTGCAAGTTGGTGTCTTGATGGTCCCATATAAATTTCATCAAATTCCATCCATGACTTCCGCTTAGGCGGGCGGAAAAGCGTATTTTTTTTTAGATTTGCCAATAAACGGCTCGTTTTATTTGACTCAAACTTAGAAAAAAGATAGGTACTAAGTAAAAGTAAACGCAATATCAATTTCATCGAAATCTATCCTCTACTTTCTCTTATATATGCGCAAACGCGTTTTCCTTGTTGATTCAAATTTCGAGGGAAGTTATGGATCGGTAAACAGATAATTAAGTATGTATGAATTTTATCAAATTCTATCCACTACTTCCACAAAATACTTCCTTTTCAGATTAGGAAATGTATTATTTGGCACGCCTATAGTTTGAAAATCGCTCGTTCAATTTCACCCAAACTTGGAGAAAATTTGGAGGACTGTGTAGAAATTACTTATTATCAATTTCATTGAATATTTAAAATGAATATAAATAATTGTTAACAATATCATGGCAGTGAAAGGTGGAACGCATTTATTATATGCAGTGGGGATTCCTTGGTACAGACCCCGTTTTGTCAAATTATTTACATCCGCCTGAAACTTCGTAAATAGTTTCATCTCGTAACCTTCAACTATTTTATTTACGAAAACTCTTGGAATTAGTACGTTTTCAATCTTGAGGGGAGGCAAACTCTGTCTATTTAATTAGATACTAAAAACTCGTAAATACTCATTTACTTTCTACTTAGATCGTAAGATAATTTGATCACACAATCGAGAAAAATGGTGGCCTTCAAAAATATTGAACCGTTTGGCGTGACCCACACCCCCAAATTTTCAAAATAACGAGGTTATATAGGACAAACGGCCCTATATTTCAGCAGGGCACCCTTTTTCTCGATTTTGTGATCAAATTATCTTACGGTTCAAGTAGAAAGCAAATGAGTATTTACGAGTTTTTAATACATGATTAAATAGACAAAGTTTGCCTCCCTCTAGATTGAAAACGCCACAATTCTAAGAGTTTTCGTAAATAAAATAGTTGCAGGTTTCACGAAACTATTTATGAAGTTTTAGGCGGATATTAATAATTCGATAAAAAGGGGTCTGTACCAGGGTCTATTGGGTTAAGACTATATTTTTATGGGGTTATGGAATTTTAGATTTTATTCAAAAATTTAATTTATACTATATTGTTTAGTCAAGTCCAAACGTTACTGGCATGACACTTACTGCCGCTATATAGATTTTCAGTAAATTTAAATTAATTTTTCCTCTGCGTTTGTAAAAAAAAATTTGAAGGAAGGATTCTGTAATATGAGGTACATTATTGTATGCTAGTCTAAATTTGAACAAAGAGCACTTATTTGTCTATTCTAAAATTTTCTTTTTAATTTCTCAATTACTGAAACTGTGTTGAGGAAGTATCTCTTCCTCCCTTCGTCGCCCTCCCAAACTTATTTCAGTAGATCATTAGAGATATGTCAGAAAAAATATATACCTCATAAAAGATAAGTAACCCCCATTATTATTATTATTATTATTATTATTGAAACGGTCATGTGGTAAAGAAGAGATAATATCCCTGAAGAATTTATTGTATGGATTATTATTTCACCCAATAAGGAAATCATTTTAAAAATGAGCTAATTATAACATACTGCTGAATACCATTCATAATTTAAAAAAGCATTTTCCCAAATAAATTGAAAACTATTTTTTTAATAAACAACATATCTGTGTTGTTTGGCTCTAGGTTTGACCAACTTTTTCGACAAATCACCTGCGATTCTACTTTGTTTTATATATTTGTTTAACAACTTCCTCCCTGAAATATTCAAAACTAAAAGCCAACAGTTTTTTATGTGAATCTTATCTTAATTTCTTTCCCTTGATCCTAACTTGGAAAATTTTCTCAAGCCAGATCTCTAGTATAAAATAATCTTTATTTTTTTAAAAATTAGTTTAAAAACAATTGGAGGTAACTGATAGTTGAGAAAGCTAATATGTAACAGAAACCAAAGGTTTTTATATATTTAAAAAGAATTATATTGACTCTTATTTATTAAAATAATTTATCTCTAGAAAATTATTGTAATCTACAGATAAGATATCACAAATATAGGAGAAAAATGGAGTTCAATGTAGGAATAAAATGTTTTCTATAATCTCAATTTCATGTATCAGTTTGACCTTCAATTTAATAATTAGTATGATTGACACTGTTATTTCTTTATTTTGTAATTGGGATTTAACCAAACAATCATTCCTTGGCATGTTCACTAAATCCAAATTTCATTCATAAAAGTTTTTTTATTTGACATTATTAATCAAAAAATAAAATAATGACACAAAAGAATGAGTAATGTCTTTTAGGTTCAATATTTTTCAAATAAAAGTTTATTTTTAATATAAAAATATTTTTTTCTTTATCCTAAGCACAAGAATTGAAACAACTCAAACCAAAAGAGAAATACTTTCATTATTTGATATAATTGTTTCAAAATTGTTTTCTTCAATAACTGTTGTTTCTCCATAAACAGGATTGAATAACAAAGAAAATGTTTCATATCTCATATACTTCAAGAAGCTAACGGTTTCCATAGGTAATAAGATTGTTAATATGATGGTTGTACATTTTTGTTGGCGATGTGGAGTAATAAAATGGTTTTCTTGTTATAGTATGGAGTTTCATTTTTGTTTTTTTTTCTGTTGGCTTTAGAGATCTTGTTAATATTTAGCCATCTGAACCAACTTTCTATACTTATGTTTATTCTGGATTAAAGCTTTCTAGTGTGGCAATAATTATTATTTAGATGCTGCCTGATATATTTCTTTCATCAGGACCATGGAGAAAAACCAATAGGCCTATGGACAATTTTTCATATACTCTACCAAATATTAAATTTAACTCAAATAATTAACTGAAACTCAGCCATCCTTGCCTGTTTACCTTTCTGCTTGTCCTTTTGCCTTCTGATCATCCTAACATTTTTTCCATTTAATATGAGATATAGTCTGACTAGTTTCTGTAAAAGATTCTTTATTAGTCTTTCCTCTCAATTTTCTTGAGTGCTGATTAGTGTCTTGGTCTTGCTGTTGTATATCAGAACTGGATTAATCATAGCATTTACATACTTAATTCGTAAAGTTTTCTCGACTTCAGTACTCTGAAAAGATGGAATTTAAATAAGAATAAATGAACCTCCGATCAAGAATGGTTAACCCCCTAAATTGACCATTGAGCATACACGATGTCGATTAGAAATTCGTCAACAAATATAAATAAACATTGTTTCTATATAATTGTCACCTGCAATGAAAATTGAATATACTGAAGTACCCAAGACTAAGAAATAATGGTGGACTTCAATCAGACTAATATGACAGTTGCTAAGCAAGGAATTTGACAAAAACACAGTTTTCTCTTTATTTTGGAATTCAAAGTTATAATTTATTCCAGAAGGTGAAACCATTAATTCGAAACTTAATAGTAATCCGTCATCAGTAACAAACAAAAGATAATATTGTGACCCAGTATAAGACTAATCGCTGATCTATCTCAAATTGTTCGTCCATTCAATTGTTAGAATCCATCCTCTTCTACTGCTAAGTAATATAAGGCTACCTTCTATAGAGTTTGTCCACGAGTCTCTATCTTAAACCAGTTGTTTATTCCTAGTTGTTACTTTTCATATTCTCGGACTAGCAGATACGCTTACTTTGCCCAGAGCCTGATGGTGGGGCTGCCTCCCAAAGCTGACAGGCCATCTCTTCTTTGCTTCAAAGCATAGACGTAATAGCCCACTACTGACCTCAGATAGTGCTTGTAAATCCTACATCATATAAATAATAATTATGTACACACACACATTTATATTTATATATATGTATATATGTGAATATAATTATTATTCATATGATGTAGGATTAACAAGCAATATCTTTTTTGTGTGAGATGTTGCTCAAGCAATTAATATCAAACGTTATAGATTTTTTAAAATGTAATTTTCCTCTAAATTTATTAAAATATGAAACTTCTAATAGATATTGCTAATTTTTAAACCTCCCAAGAAGATAAATATATATGAAGTTCACCACAGGTATTCCTTGAAATCTAAATCTAAAATTTTGTGATGAAGGGTGGAATTATTCTTTTTTTTTTTTTTTATTAGCTTAGTAATTTAATATTTTATAGAAAGAAGTAGTAGTAAGTAGTAACATACATACTGAATCATTCATGGATGTTTGTAAAACATTTTTAATTTATGATCTAACCTCTACATATTTTTTTTAACAGTTGAGTTTGAGAGATAATCCTCTGGTTGTGAAATTTGTTAATGACATGACATACAATCCTGCTACATTGCTTGAAATTGCCGCAAGAGTTGTTAAAGTAAATGAAATAACTCATACTCCTGAAGATCTACCAAGATGTCTCAGGGAATACCTCAACTCTGCACATTATTGTGTCAATCCAAGGTGCAATGGTAAGCTCTCTTTTTTTATATGAATCTATGATAGATTAATATACTATTGATCAGATTTTGTCAAAACACATTAGGATTTTTCCTGCTTGAGTTTGAAGATTTTGTGCTTATGTGAGTGTTTTATTGAGGTAATGAAACTGCTAAAAAATATTTATTTTGTTTATTGGGATTGATTATTTACTCTAACTAGGTCAGGGATTATTCTATAGTTTACCAAGTTATTTTAGCTAGTATCCTTTCTTTAATAAATATTATTGTAAGTTTATAAATTATTTTAGAGAAATATTTAAAAGGATATTCATTTTCATTCATTCACCCGTTTACATTATTTTTTATTTACTGTAGATTCTATTTGAACAAATTTTTAACCACAAAACAACATTTATTAAGTAATTAGAAAACAAAATTATTGTTTATGAAGTAAAAAAAAAATGTCTTGTATTAGCAAAAGAATAAGATATACTTTAATGATTTTTATTTTTAATTATTATTATAATTTGGAAAATGGACTAGGGTGTTTTGGAACTGAACATCTCATTTGTTGTATATTTTAATTATACCGACAAATTTAATCAGTTGTAGTATACATATTTAGTTAAACTCCTGTATACATCATACTTTTATAAGTATGATCTCATTTTAAGTATAGAACATATTAGCCCTAGAGCTAGGGCCCAAAAATCAACCTCATCGCAGGCGAAGGTTTGATTGTAAATTATGAAAGTGTATGTTATTCTGAGTAAAATGAACTTTGTCTGCCATCTCAGAGCCGCTGCTTTAAAAAATGATTATTTAAGGAATATTAGGCCAACAACTTGAGGATCAAAACAGAAAATCCATTACAAAAAATGTGAGTTAAAAGTTTTTAATTTTTAAACTTGTATATATGGGTTGTGACATGTAAAAAAACAAAATAGCTAACATGGGCCACGTAAAGAAAACTTTTTACAGCCAAAAAAGTCAAAATTTTTCATATTTTTATCTATAACTCTTGAATGATACATCAAAGCAAAAACTGCACTCGTTAATAAATTAAAGAACGTTAAATTATGCGTCAAAGGAATACCTAAACCTAATAATTTATTAAATTACTAATAATTTAATAATTAATTAAATTTACCTAAACCTATTACCTAATATTGGTAATGAAGGTATATGTGATTTTCAATATTTTAATGGTATGAATGTCTATTCTACTGAGTTATTTTTGTTTGGAGTCTGTTTCATGCAGTATAAGCCTCTATCCACCTCTCAGCAGCAAAGGATTTTGATAAACAATGTGTCACAATACCAAATTTCATAAAGAAATAAAGAATCCCAATTTGAGATATTTAATTGGTCTACAATAAAAATGTCAGTACTCAGTGGATGCAAAATTTGAAGCTATACAACTTTGATTCTATGGTTTTTTTTCGCTTAGTGGACTTATATGCAAGTTACAGGACCATTTACAGTAATTTGTCTCAGTTTTTGACAAATTTGGTATAAATCAGCGTTGGTTGACCATGGTTTTATACCTTACCACATAACTAAATTATTATGTTTATATATTCATTCGACACATAATTAAACATTGTGTAATTCTTTTAATTCATTTAGGAGTTATGGGTGAAAAAAACAAAAAAATATCGAAAATCTTGCTTTTTGGCTGTAAAATGTTCTCCCTTGATATGACCCCCGTTAGCAATATTATTTTTTACATTTTTAAACTCATATATACAAGTTAAAAAAATAAAGAAAATTTTCACATTTTTCGCAATGGATTTTCTGTTTCAATCCTTAAGTTATTGGCCTAATATTCATTAAATCAGCCGCTATTTTTTAAAGCAGTGGCTCTGGAATGGCATACAAGTTTCTTTTTACTGAGAATATCACACACTTTCGTAAATTACAATCAAACCTTCGCCTGTGATGAGATCGATTTTCGGGCACTTCCTCGAATATTGATAAAAATATTGAATCTTCATTTTGGTAACTTTTTTTGCACTTATTAAAGTTTATATTCAACATAAGTTTTATTATCTCTATAATCAAAGGCACAAAAAAAAATTAATTTGAAGTCCGCCATACGGTCATAAAACATGGTAACAAATAAAATAGCTCTGGATCCAGGGCCTAAATAAAATTTTATATTATGAAAAAGTCGCTGATTTCAAAAATATTAGCCCAGTCCCTTCAAGATTAAAATGGGAGTCATGTTACAAGAAACAATAAAGAATGCAAAGATGGAAAAAAAAAATGCCACCTCAAGAGAAATTTAGGCAGCCATAAAATCCTGAAACTGTTTTGTTTTCCATCTGTAACTTCTAAACTAGGGGTAAGGTGGCCGAGTGGGCTAAAGGGTGTGTACAGCATCGCTTTACCTGGCAACCTGATTGAAAATAAATTGATAAAATAATTACAAGTTTGCCTCCCATTGCCTTAGTAGGCTTTTAACTCTGGCATCAATCCCTCGCCCTCACCCTCTGTCCCGGGAAAACCCTGTATAGCCTAAATGGCAAGGAAAATTGAAGAATTTTTTTGGACTGAAAAAAAAAAACCCTGTAACTTTTAAACAGTGAATCCAAGCAATAAAGTCACCCTTTAAGAAATTAAAAATTGTTTAAGTCTACATTCAGTATATATAATCCAACAGATTCTTTCAATAACCTATGAAATCAATTGTAAAGAAATTAATTAATTAAGAGATTAAAAATTGTTGGAGTCTACATTCAGTATATATAATATATATAAATATAATCTAACAGATTCTTTCAATAACCTATGAAATCAATTGTAAGGAATCCAATGAGGCCAATAAGATTAATTTGCAAAAAATGTCAGAATCATATCTTATATAGGAGTGCCTCAAATAATTAACTCGATTGATTTTGATATTTTCTTTGTGTTTGAGTCTGATGAAAAATAATTTTTTTACTTATCTAACATTTTCTAAGAAATATTCATGGTGGATAAACCAAGGTTTAACTATATATGATCAAACTTACTATTAAAATAAATGTATTTATTTTACTAAAAAAAATCATCTTTATGTTTTTTAATTTAACAATTATATTTTTTCAGGTGTTTTTTTCGATAATCGTGTGGAGCATATTAAATTTGTTGATTTTTGTGGCAAATATCGTGTCCCATTGCTACAGTATTTGTGTTCTTCAAAATGTGTTGTTGATAATTCTGCTCTTCGTGAAGGAGGAGGTCATTCCTATCGAACCGATATCATGAGGAAAGTGCTGCTTGGATAGCCCTTGATCAGCCCCTATCTTGTTATTTTAGGGGAAGGTACAATGAATGAAACAATTGCTTCACATTCATCTCTCATGTTGTGAAGTGGAATAATGAATAAAGAAGGAAAAAGATATTATAATATTCATTTGTCTTAAAATAAGTATATTCTTATCCATGATTGAGATAGAGCCTATTTCTAATAGGGAATTAGTGAATATATCATTTTCTGTAAGAAAACATTCCAAAATATTCATTAGCAATTCTTCATTGAATTATATATTATATAAGCATAAAACTTGTGTCATGAATTTATAAACTATAATTGAATGTTAACATTTCTTAAGAGATAAGTCCTTTTTTGTTGTTACAAAGTATAATTTTTCTTTTTATTAATATACAACTTGTCTGAAAAAATTGTTATTATAGTTATAAGAGTAGCAAAATTAGTTTTCATCTATAATAGACTAAGCATTACCTTGTTATAAATCCAAATTTGCATTCCGTTTCTTTCTTGAATGTTAGATGTGATAAAATGAAAAATTGAAATTTGTTATCAGATAACTTAGGATTTGTATTGAAAGTTACTGAAGGTATATTGTTATTAAAAAAGAAAGTCTCATAATACTTTTTGATACCTTACTATATTAATACTTGTTATTATGTTAAGTTTATTTTTTCTTTGAAGTTTAATTAATCATAAATATAAGTTACCATCATGAAGTTTTGTTAGATTTTTTTTTAAACATATCGTCGGTAAAAAAGTAAAAGGTTGTGTAAAACAACATAAAAATTATAATTTGTTTTATGTCTTGTGGCCAGCAGTATATTTTAATTTGTGTCACTCCGTTTTGAAGTATATTTGTACCAGAAGTAATGTCTGCTATAATTACAGTTTCCTTTTACTATATCCTTTATGAAAATTTTTGCAGTTGATAAAACGTCATATTATACTTAGTTTATATATATGTTCTGAAATCATTTTTTTTTTTTTTTTTGTTACTTGAAAAAACAATTTATTGCCGGTCTCACTGTGAAACTGTTCGAGTCAAAAATGTTTTGATTTTAGGTTATTTTATTATTGTCTAAATTTTATCCTCAGCAATTTATGGTTATTTTTTAAATTAATACATATCACTTGCTAGCTACTACTTATTATTTTAAACACAATGAGCAAGTTCCTTAATGGAGCGCTGAGCTATCGTTTCACCTTGTTTGAAGAGGGATCTGATGTCATCGCTATGCTCAGCAATGAGTTCAAGAATTCATCTTATGCATCTCAATTTGATTAAAATATTTTATTTTATTTTTTTGTCCCTCCTGAAGAGATTGGGATTTGTTAATTACTCGGTTTTCCATTGAAACTGAAATTATGGTTTTTCAATTTTAATATTTGTGGTAAACAAATTCATTGATAAATTAATTATCTTGTGATAATGTTGAACTAACCAAAATTAAACTGACAATCCTTAATTTCCTATCACTATGTGAAATATCTAGATTTCTCTAAATGTGAATATAACTATTCAACATTTATATTACATTGATTGCCAAATTTGTTTATATCTGTTACCATTAAAGGTTTAAAGAATTTTAAATATTAATATTATTGGTTTTTCAACTTTGTGAAGTTAAAATCTTATTTCATTACCTACTATCCTATTTCATTTTTATCTCAGTCAATAAAAGCTTTTTGTCCCAACTAATTAGGGGAAAACTGGATTTTACATGAGTTTCTATTTTTATGCCTCGTACTTGCTTCTTTCTGTCTCTTCCCTTGAAATATTAAACTATAAGAAGTGAAAAGGAGTTAGAAACTCATTATTTATCTTCCTATTCTATTATATTGTGAAAATAACAGCTGACCTTTAAGAAGATAAAACTTAGGGAAAGCATAAAATCATTTGGGCCGAAACCCCTCTCTAAAATAGAATTATACTTTTTTTTATTCATTGTTCCATATTTCTTTATGTGAGTGATCTAAGCTAAATACTTAAACAATCTCAATATATTCTCTTTTTAAATTATAATGCATATGAAGCTACTTAATGTAGGGAATGCTAGAAAAAATATAAGAAATATATCTCTAAAAGCATTTTATTTTCCTGTAATTACGATGTTTTTGTTGTCTTTTAAGAACCAGTTAAACACCATTTTATTCAAATGGTTTTTTCCCCCTTTTCTTTCTTCATGTAATTAGCATTAAAAAAATATCCAAAATCGAATCCTGGATTTGCTACTGCTCCTGAATAATAGTTAAATAGGGGTTTCAAGCTTCCAAAAGAAGCATTTGGTAGCCTTAGCTTAGTGTAAACAAAGCATTTCATGTTCTAAATTTTCTAGGAAAAGGGATTTACAATTCTTTACTTTGGTTTATTGACATTGACCTGGTACACAATTGTGCCCTCTCAGAAAATTGCTGGATCAGGCATCCTCCACATTTTGACAAAACTAAGGCTTTTCTGCCATTCCAAAGAGGCTACTTTCACATATGGCAACCACATGAAGTCCAAAAATGATCCTCATCGTAGGAAAAAAAAAACCATTTTACTAATGTGTTAGTTAGGCTTTTAAGAGTGTCTTCCGTTTCAAAGCCGCTGCAAACAATTTCATCAATATTACAAGCCTTGAAAGTAACTTTGTCTCACAACAGTCCTACTTGATTAAGAAATAAAGTAGAACAACAGAATGATCAAATTGTGTTTTTATTATTACTAACAAAGTGAAGTCCTAACCTACAAGTTAAAATATATACATATTTAGTGGATATTCACTGGCATAATCTAATGTAAATTGCATTGCAATTCCAGAATCCAAATTCCACTTGATACAGAATGCTTGCTAAGTTAACTAGAAAGTATTTGATTGATAGGAAATAAATAATGTCTTCCTTTTGTTAGCCGCAGCAATGTACAGGCAGACTGAAATTAAAAAATTTCAAATTTAAATGTCAAAATTCATCAATTTTAGTATATTAATAAAGTCCGAGCTACAGGCTCAAAACTTGGCAGTTGTGTGATTTGGTCAGCTATAAACAATGTCTATTAAATATTACCTAGCAAATTCTAATTCTAATCTTGGGTTATTAAGTACCTAATTTATGACTGGATTGGTATGAAAAGCAGTTTTACTTAAATCGCTATTTTATTCATTTTTGGCCATTTTATTTCTCTCGAGGGTACTAGCTTTAAAAAACATAGCATAAATTTGAGCTAATAAAATTCAAGTGATAAAGAACGTAAATGATATTGAGATACAATTTTTTAATAATAAACAATGTTTACCTAGGGTGACCCGTACTGCTGCTAACAAGGGTGCTGCCCAACGTCTCTCATCCCCTAGCTTATTTTATTTATTTATGAAATATATTTTACCAAGAGATGACAGGGTGAAAGAAAAAATATTTCTTTTGTGCATTATAAAAACTAAATGATTAAAAATTTGAATTTTTATTGTTATAACGTATTCTATCACAAATACAAATTGTAAATGCATGAAAGTACCAGATTGTTTGAAATAGGTAAAACATTATGTATACTGTCATGTTTTTCTGCATGGTCTGTTGGGCTAAGTGTTATGAACGTAGAAAGTTGAACCACCACTTGAAAATAACCACATGCTCCATCAGATACTGAGTTATGTTGCAAAATGTTTTAAACAATTGGTTTTTTAAATTTTTAGCAGTATTTCCCTTTATGCACTGAAGGAGATATAGGTTATTTATGCCACTGGATTTGAGTTCAATCAGCTTGTTGCAATTTTTCTAATAACTGAAAGTTTTGAAAACTTGTGGAATATCAAGCTCTAAACAAGGATGAATAGTTATTAATCAAATTTGAATGTGAATAAAAATACCATCATTTTCAAGAATATTAGACATTCTTTATATAAGTGGAATTTAGCTTTAAGGAAATTGAAGATGCCAGTACAACTGGAAAAATTGGCTACATCCTGTACGTCTTTTCTTGTGATGGCAGCAGCAGTAATAAAATTTTCACTTTTTTTTTCTCTTGTCGTAACGAACAATACCATTGTAAACTGAGGAGATAAGTGTAGAGCTTTTAAAGGGTCATGATGTGAAGATTATTTAGATTTAATAAAATAGCAACTTTTGAAGTTGCTTCTAATAGATAAAAACATATAAATTCAAGACAATTACTGCCTTAATATACACTGATTAAAATAATAATTAAACCTACTGCTGCTACTCAATATTTACTGTCAGCTGATTTTTTTAACTACTTTTGTAAGACTTCATCTCCATAAAAGAGGAACATCCAGACAGGGAATAAACTAATATAATTAAATAAGCTGTTTTTGAATGGTCCATTTGGTTCTTATTTGATGTTCTAAATATCTGTATATAACATTATAAAACCATGGCGTGTTTCATCTTGATCATACTATAACCATCATCATCCTTTAAGTAAAATATTTTGTTTCTATTATTTATATTACATATAAATATATCAGGGTGGCTACCAGACTGTTAAGAGTAAAATTCCCTCACTTTTTCCTGTTTAATGAAGGTTTCCCTGACCTATATGCCAGTCAGGAGACAAAAATGTGTAGTTTATATCTAAATTTATTTATTATAAATGATTGGAAATTGAAAGATTAGAATAAAAAAAGGCTATTCAGTCTTATTAAACAACAAATATAATGTTCTGCAAGAAGTATTTTATAAACTTGATCAGGATTTTTATTTTAGAAAACTGAACTTTAAATAATTCATTTTTATCGCTTTTATTTATTTTCATAAACTGAGAAGAGGTAAAAGTTGAAACTTGACACTTTATTATAAAATATAAAGGCGATTGTTATTTTAATATAGTTCCACATAAGTAATTTAGTTTTTTTTATTGCCACAAACAGCGTCATAATTATCCATACAATACCAACTGTTATGCTGGGTCACTGACACATGTGTATAACATGCGTTTCTCAGCAACCTTATAAACTCAAGTTTACATGATACAATAATTACAAGTTTGCATCTAAATGACGGGGGACCTTTAACTTCTCCACCTTTTCCTATGGAAAAGCTCCGTAAAGTCTCAATGGTGTAGAAGGGACAGACCAAACAAAAGATTTAAAGAAAAAACATTTCTGTTTAGTACATGCCACTTAAAGGAGCACTATGGGTCCGATGAAGGAGTGCTTGCCAACCAATGAATTTCTACTACCACAGCCACATGCATTAAATAAAAATATAATTGAAATATCAGAAAATCAAGTTAAACAATACTACTTGTCCACTATTGGATAGTTAAACAATACTACTTGTCCACTATTGGATATCTCTAAACTACATTTCTGTTCCTGCCGAGTTCAGAAGTGAATATAAAAAAAAATACTGAAACTACCATAACTTACACCCGATGAACACAGCCTGCATTGGACTTGTCAATTACTTCCAGAGAGGTTCGTCGTTTCGGCCAAGGTCATGGTCATGGAGACCAAGTTTTAATTGTAGATTTTAATATTAATAATTAGTGTGTGAAATAAAAGTAGTAATTAATTATTATTTGGAGTTTCAATTTATTGATCTCCCAATAAATTAAAGGGAGAACATCAATAATGAAAGACTCAGGGTCATAATAATCAAGGCTGCAGCTTACATTAAAATTTTCCATCTTTGAATTATATTTATTTCTGATTTGAAAAAATATTTAGGAACTAAAAATATTCTCCATCTTTAAGTTTTTTTTTCTTTTATTGTTAATTCTCTGACTTTTCCAAGTCGGTCGCCACCCTGTATATATCATACTTTATACCTTTCAACATCACTTCCAAAATATTTTAGGTCATGTTGCCCCTTGTTTATTTCCTTGACAAATAAATTTTCTAAAAATAATAAATTAAAAATCTATCATTTAGGACAATGTTTAAAATAACCTTATTAAAATAACTGTTGTACTTTCATCATATCTTATAGATACCAAGAAAGCAAATAATAATGAAATAAAATAATGGTGCAGAATATCTTTAAAGCCTCTTAAAAATATAAATATTATTAATTTTCATGAGAAAGCATCAATGATTAGATAATTAGAAATTGTCAAGAACATCTTACCACATTTTACAGTAAAATAAAAGATATACAAAAATATAAGAAGGATAATTGGGATAGGTATACCAAAACTGTGGCCAAGTTATTTATTTTTTTCGCTTTTCATATCTCTTAACACAACTATCATGTAAAGATTATTATTAATTCTTAAAATGTAGTAAGTATTTACTGTTATATTATAATAATTTTTGGTATTTTTTAATTTTTTATTTTTTTTAAACTGCCAGTTAAAAATATGATAAGACAGAAGATTACAGTAAAATTTTATTTTTCCTGTTATAATTTATATGTATATACATTTGTGAGTGTATGTGTGTAATTTATAAACACATACACACACACCTATATATACAGAAAACATCTAGTACAATAAAACACAGTTATTTACATAGCTCAATTAAAAAATAAAATAAAATTAAGATATAAGACAAAAGCGCTCCACACAATAAGGTACTGGGTGTAGCGGAGCCGGAGCGCACTATTGTGAAAATTTTATAAAGCTTTATACACAAAGTTGTGCTAATAATCACAACAAAATAAGTTTATAGAAAATTATAAACACAATTTCTATTCTTCAGTCTACTGGGAAGGAAAGAAAAACAAAAAAAAAAAAAAATTAAAGAAATACCTGAAATAGCATACGTATATACACATCGATTGCATTGTTAGATATTTTTTGCTTAATACTATATACATGTATATAGTATAATAGTTTAATATATACATGTGCCCAAATACACACACACACTCATACAAATACACATTAATATAATATTTCATAACCAACATCTTATAATACAATAATATACTTCACACATCATAAAGTTACAGTGATATCATTCATACATTAATAATATTTAATTTATACACTTTAATTTTGATAACTATAATAAACAGGAATAAAAATAACAACTTTTTTTTTCTTTATCATTTTCATTTCATACAAATAATTGACAAAGTAACATTTAAAGCAGAAACAGATATTTTAAAAATTGCAAATACTCCAGCTGTATTTATGGGTATAGAAACACATACCATTATAATGCATGACCAAGCATGCACATGTGTATGTGTTTGGGTGTGTGTGTCTATGTGCGTACGCAACAGATACTGTTGCTTTTACTACTGAATTATAATCATATACAATAATATATATATTTATATATATTAGTACTTGAGTTGGTCAGCCATCATGCGGGTGTGTCCCTTTGATAAAGGTGGCACTATGTTGAATGACTACAGTGAAAAACTACAAACATTGAAACATGAGAGAGAAATGAAGGCCGACGACGCTATATATTAAAATTATCACTAGCTTTTTTTTTATTATTTATATAAAAACCACTTTTTATACTACATTTTTGTTTTACAACTGTGACAGAAGTGATTAAAATAGTGTATTAAGGGTTAAAAACTTGCATAACAGCCATTGTCCACCTGCTACACGATACAATATAATTTAAAATTTTAAGTTTAATAATTAAGAAAAAAAATCAATGAAAAAAGTTAACGATAATGAAAATATACTAACTCATATACGTGACTAAATATATGGGTCTGTGAATCATCTATATTTGATTTGAATAGTCAATAGTTTCTTCAAATTAGCAGGCTGACAAGACGAAAGCAAATTAGCTATGTATTTTTTTTTATTATTTATTTATTTTTTTGTCTAAGCAGAACATTTAATTGATAGTAGGGGCATAATAATGTAATAAAATAAATTTTATTACATAAATTCAGAAACACAATTTCAGACTAGGGCTCTGAGATCTGTCTGTGATTGTACAACACACACTATAGGCTTTTTATTCAGACTTGTTAAATCTTCATGTAGACGAGGAAAATGAAATTTAAAAAATAAAATAAAATAATGCTACTTATTAGGGCAGGAACAATAAATGATTCATTAAAATTATGGGAACATTTAATAAGAAGAAATCCATATATGTTACTTAAAAACATTTTTCAAATAAAATTTGGTTCCATGAGACATTAAACTGTCTCGATAACAAGCTGAAAACATTGTTTTGTTTTTTCAAATATATTCATTTCTCATAAATGTGTATATACTTAATTTATTTTAATATAATTATTTATATATTTATATGTATACATTATAACTTCACTATATATTTTGTACAATTTACGGAAATGGCAATTTGGGCTTTAATGTGTACCTGCTAGTCATAAAACAAAAGCAGCACTCACCGATAAGGCCATTCTAAATTGAATATAATAAAACAATTGAACACAAACACTGTACAACCTCTAAAGGGAGGGAGTAGAGAGACAGCGAACCTCTGATCTTATAACAAGGCCATTTAAACATTTACAAGCAAAACAATGTCCATAAAATACATTAAAAATCTGTTCTTCAGTTATTAAAAAAAATAATAATAAAACAATTCAAATAAATTATAAACACCTAACTAATGATTTAATCACTTCGATTTCATCAACCAATTAAAATTTCATCCAATGCCACAATTTAATGGATTCTTAATCCATCCTTTCGGCGTGTTTACTAATTTGTAAAATAAATATTAATTATGATTTATTCTAACAATTCATAATCACAAAAATATGAATACATGTACTAAGTGTATATGTATGCATATAATTGTATGCACATCTATATACCAAAAAAGTTTCCATGTAAATTGAGAAGGTCTGTGTGTAGAAGTACATAACAATATGGGCTCTCCTTTTTCAGTTTTATAAGTGTACAAGCGAATTTAACAAATACGCTAATCAATTTTAGTTTACTCCCCTGGTGGTAGTCTATTCTTCGATTACAGAATGTAGTCAGCACCTTAAATAAAATGATAATACATTACAATCAAAGTAAAAAATTATTAAAAGTTTATATTAAATAATATTAATGAAGAGAAGAATAGTTGGGGTGTTCAGTCAAAAAGGAAGGCAAAAATAAATTATAATATTTATTTTTTACATATGCCGGCGTTTCGACCTGAAGTTCAGGCCTTCATCAGGGCTAAGAAAATAACCAGATAACAAGGTATGAGAAACATAAGTAATGATGGTAAAAAAGATAATAAAAAAAAATAATAAAAAAATAAAATTATTAGAAAAATAAAATAGATAAATATAAAGTAAAATGAAATTGTTAGAATAATGACTAAGAACTAAGAGATAAATAACAAAAACTGTTACAAAGTGTGGAATGATGAAGTAGGCATAATCAAAAAGGGGTGACAAAAGTGTTACAATGGGAATCTTAGAATAAAATGTAAAACATAAAAAAGAAATATAAAGTTATATAAGAAATGAAAATAAATATTAAAATTAAATTACTTATGTTTCTCATAACTTGTTATCTGGTTATTTTCTTAGCCCTGATGAAGGCCTGAACTTCAGGTCGAAACGTCGGCATATGTAAAAAATAAATATTATAATTTATTTTTGTCTTCTTTTTTGACTGAACACCCCAACTATTCTTCTCTTCATTATCCACGACAGTCAACCAATTACCAATTATTTTAAATAATATTAATAAAAGTAAAGTACAAGTTTAGATCAAATCTACCTTAATATATCAATGATAAACCAATCAATATAAAAATAAAAAAAAACTGTTGGCATACTCTTTAAAAAGATTAAGTTATTAAATTAAAAATCACAAAATTGATTGCTATTAGGTACTAAACTTCAAGCTTGATTTTAAGCTAATCATATACAATGAAGCATCGATGATTGAGGGGAAAAAAAATTGCCAGTTAGTGGCTTTCTGTAAAGCAAATATTGAGAGAGGGATGTAACAGACAAACCAAAATTAATCACAAAATAATTATGAGCTTGTGTCCTGGTGCCGGGAGGGAAGCTTTTAACCCTAGGTAATCCCCACCCTCACCCCCTATCCCGGGAAAACCTAAAAGGCAAGGAAAAGGTGGACTAAAAAGAAAAAAATCCCCCTTAATTAATTATTTAATTAAGAAAACCCATTTTATAGAGGTTGGGTGTACCCCAAGGAGGGCCTCCTGATCCCAGGACCTTGAGCATTGGAAGATCAGTGCCCTATCACTGAGCTACCCCACTCCTCCTAAATTAAAACTTTAAAAGGTTAAAAAAATTAAAAGTAATTTTTTCCACCAGAAAGTTATCAACTTTGGGTATTATATATATATATATATATATTGCTTTCAAGCTGAAGAACAAAGTTTATTGCAATATTTGATGAAGTAAAATACTTTTGCAAAAATAGATCATTTATCAATCAGAGGATCAAAACAAATATCTTGATCTCAGCTATGGCTAATTTATCCAGAAATATCCTACAGATTTTATTTTTAGTATGCTTACATCAT